AGTATAGTTCTGTTGGGGAATAACACTTGTAAATTCCTAGTCTATGAGTACATAGTCTACACTTGTAAAATCCTAGTCTATGAGTACTGAAGCTGTTGAAACAACTTTAGAGGCACCCACTTTTGTAGGCTTGCCTGGTGCAAACTCTGCTTATTTTCTTCTCAGATTTCTGTAACAGCAATGAAATCAGACAATGTTGCACATGAAATAAAAAAAAGAATTACACGTGGTAGAAATTTTTAAGCAAAAAAGGGGTTGGGCTTGCAATACTGCAGGAAGATATCTAAGCGATGTGAAAGAATTACAGAAGTGGACCAAAAGGAAGTTTGTTCAGAGCACCAGGCAAGTTAATTTACTTCCAAGCATCAGTAATTTGCTGTTAATATAAATTCAGATCTCCATATGAAAAATAAATATTGTTTTTTGTTGGTGGTTTGTTTTTTTTTTTTTTAAGGAACATAGAGTCTATCAGTAAAAAAGGGGAATAAAAAAGACCACAAAAGTGGCTGCATGTGTAATATTATTTGCTTCACAGACTGGACTGCACAAGCTCTGCTAGCTTAATTTAATGCATAAGCAAATTGCGATCACTATTTACTTTAACATGGATCTAGCATTGCTTTTGATATCTAGCTAGTAGAAATTCTGGTTATACAATATAACCTCTCGGTAATTATTTTTTGCATAGGTTCTATGAATGTATTTAAAACTGATCTCGTCATGCCCAGTGTACACCTCCATTGCTTGGAGGGGATGCATGTGAACTGATGTCTTATATCTAAGGGTTATTAATTTTCCTGTATGTGACCCCATCTAATTCCTTACAGAAGTAATTCTTTCTTCAGGAAGGGTAGAAAAATATTAATTACCTAAGTATTTGAAATAATTTTGGATTCAATTTTTTTTCTATGAACGAGAATACAAATTGGAAATTCAACAATTTGCTTTGCTCTCAGAATCTCCACTGAAGGCAGCTGCCAGAACAGTTCCTCATGGTAGCACTGTAAGAGTTCACTTTTCTGAAACACCTCTTTTCAGCACAGCAGTAGCTGAACAAAACGTAGTACAGAAGAATATATAAGTTTTTTTCTTTGTTTTTCGTTTGTGGCTTGTTGGTTTTGTGAGGTTTTTTCTTTAAATGAGCTTTCACCGAAATGCTCATTCATTGTCTGGTGACTGCCAATGCTGATTTACTACTAGTGTTTTTAATAATATAGTATTTACCCTTGCAAAATCTCTACTCCTTTTTCTGCTGCCACATACAAATGCAAGTGAAATTTAGCTAATTATCTTAAGGGGTTACCTTACTTTTAATCAGAGAAGACGACTAGGGACAAAAGGCCTGGCTGCACATAGAAAGTCATTTTGCAGTAAATCAATTAATTTCTGATCTATGCATAACTGCGAACTCTGCACAGTTTATAAATTAAGAAGAAGTTTCAGGTTGATGCTTTCCAGTGAACACCTGTCACTGACATATAATTGGCTACAAGTCATTTATGCCACAGAAAGTTTAAAATTAACACCGTATAATTCAGGCCTGTTGTGTCAGAAAAACACGTTACTTATGCAGTACTTGTGAATTTCTCATTGCCTTGTTTTCCCTCAATTTTGTAGAAAATAATTAGTAGAAATTGTATTAAAATTGTAAATAGCCTGTGACAAAAGAATTTAAAAGGATTCTTGCAGCCTTTTTGAATACACTTAAAATCACAGACTCACAGAATCATTTAGGTTGGAAAAGACCTTTAAAATCAAGTCCAACTGTTAACCTAGCAATGCCAGGTCCACCAGTAAGCCATATCCCTAAGGACCAGATCAACATATTTTTAAATACCTCTGGGGATGGGGACTCCACCACTTCCCTGGGCAGTCTGTTCCAATGTATCACAGTTCTTTCAGTGAAGAAATTTCTCCTAATATCCAACTTGAGGCCATTTCCTCTTGTCCTATCACTTATTACTGGGGAGAAGAAAGAGATTGACTGCCCATCTTGCTACAATCTCCTTTCAGGTAGAGAGCAATAAGGTCTCCCCTCAGCATCCTTTTCTCCACGCCCAACAATCCCAGTTCCCTCAGCCTCTCCTCTCAAGACGCTTCACCAGCTTCATTGCTCTTCTCCAGACCTGCTCCAGCACCTCAATGTCCTTATTTTAGTGAGTGGCTCAAAACTGAACACAGTCTTCAAGATGCAGCCTCACCAGTGCTAAGTACAGGAGCATGATCCCTTCCCTGCTCCTGTGGGCCACAGTGTTGGCCTTCTTGGCCACCTGGGCACACTGCTGGCTCATGTTCAGCCGGCTGTCCATCAACACCCCCAGGTTCTTTTCCACCAGGCAACTTTCCAGCCACTCTTCCCCAAGCATGGAGGGTTGCCTGGGGTTGTTATGACCCAAGTGCAGGACACATAGGTCCTTGTTAAAGCTCACACAATTAGCCTCAGTACATCAATCCAGCCTGTCCAGGTCCCTCTGAAGAGCCTTCCTACCCTCAAGTAGGTCAACTCTCCAACCTAACTTGGTGTCCTCTGCACACTTACTGAGGGTGGTCTCAGTCTCCTTGGCAAGATCATTGATAAAGATATTAAACAGAACTGGCCTCAAAACTGATGTGACCAAAACTGGTCACATCTAAACTTATCAAGACAGGAAGCAAATCAGAAGTGATCTTACTATCCAAAAAATATGTTCAACAAAAGAATGGACTTAAAACATGTTTTATTGCTCCTGTCACATTAAGTCCTCTTTTTTAGGTTTTGAAAAATTAAATCTAGCAATTAAGGCTAGAGTTTTGAGTATATTTTAAATATTTGTACACTTTAGGTAGATATGCTAAGGATATGAAGGATCAAGATAAAAGTTTCTAGAGTCTAACCAGTTCACATGCAGCAAAAGCAAACTTGAAAACTTTTAAAGAATTCATATGCTCTCTTTTAGGGTTACATAAATTATTTGCCTTGATTTATAGCTTTTCTAAAATAACTTTCACTTTAAGAAAAAATATGAATGTCATAAACATGAATAACTGAGGTAAAACCTACAAAAAATAAACCCATACAGTTTCATACAGGCTTTCAAATTATAGATGCAATTGCAGCTTTCTTTGTCATTATTGTCACAAACATGCTTTCATCGCCTAATGAGTACATGTGCTTGTCTTCAGTATGAAAGTTGAAATTCTATTTTGTTAGAGCAATAAATACATTCTAGACAGCATATTTCAGAACAATTATTGCACTACTACTCACACAGTTAATATTATTCAGCCTTTGGTCTATTGTGTTCTTACATTACCTGAGCTAATTATAATCACTTAGAAGGTGTCAAAAGCACAATATTGCCATGTGTGTGCAGCATCTAGCAGACTATAATTGCCATATATGAAATTAAAACTTTTAGGTTATAAGGATACGAATATATTCTGTATGGTTTTTTTTTCATTTACCATTTAGCTGATGTTATGGTATGGTCTTATAAAAGCCTATATTCATGAATATTTAAGTAAATAGGGTACAAATGAAATAAAAATTAGGAGGTAGGTGGTATCATCTAATTTTAAACCTGGAAGAAGAACTCTTGCTTTGTGTCTTACCTTAATATTAAGACTTCAGAAGGCATAAACAGACATCTACCTGTTGACAGCACCTCTGGATTGTCATAAGCAGTAAGACTTCCATTTTGTCACAGCTGCTATTACAACTATTATGTCCTCTAGGATGGATATTTTTTTTTCTTAAATCAAAACAGGATTCGGCATCAATAGTTATGGTCATAGCTTTAGAATTAAGCAACTTGCTTTGTTTTCTAGTAGTATCAGGGATTCAGTGTTTCTATTCAGAATATCTTCAAAATCACAGAACAATCCATGACTGTAATCAGAGGCACTTTCTGAGAATTTCTAAATAGACCTTCTCTGTTCATTTATGAAATTAAATGAAGATAAACAAAATTTGCAGCTAATTGTTCATCAGCTAACAAGTACTTCATTTGTCTTGTATAATATTTGCACAGGACACTCATTAAACTTTTTGTGTAATTAAAACTCACAGAGTTGTTTGGTGTTTTTTTTTTAATATAAACTACACTTGATTTTTAAAGGCATTTTTTCTTGGCATTAGTTATTCTATTTCCTCTTTCTTAGATCCTAGTGTCCTACTAGAGAAAATAACAGTCAGCTCAGATCTCTTTCAGAATGACTGATGATTCCCATACATGCGAGTGGAACACAGGCACTTTGTTCTTATCAAAGCGGAAGCAGCCTCTATTGTGTTCCAGCTAAAGGAATCCTGTAGTATTTATAAAGTCTGGCCATGGCAGTCATGCCAAAAGAGGACAAGTCCTCATGAGTTCCTCAATAAGCAGTGATTTTATGAAACAAACCTTGAAAGCACATAAGCATTGAGTTATAGAAAACAGTGACTCTTTTCTCGGGTTTGATTTTTTTTTTAAACTGTCTTACATTATGAGGCCTAGTTATCAAATAAAACAGCAAATATCACCATCATGAGAAAATGAAAAAAAAGCTGTATACAATTATAGACACCATTATGTTCTCGTCATACTTAAAAAGCTACAATAAAGAGCAGAATTAATTGCCTATACTTTTATTGGATTAGATTATCTTTTGAGGTCCCTTCCAATCCCTAGCATACTGTGATACTGTGATATTCTCCTACCTACTCTATTTTGCTTTCTTCACTGCTAACTGTATCTCCTGAGTTAACAGTGAGTGTGCTGAGGATATTTATACATTCCTATAGTGCTTTGTACCCATGTGAGCAACGTACATTATCAGTGTTGATTTGATTCCATTGTAATCGCAGCAGAAATTATAAAAATCTTTATACGTCTTTTTTTGTTGTTTGTTTTTCACCTAACACAAATTGCTATGACACAAAGCTACAAATTTCTCATTTTAAAAGACAATTCCTGACTTGGGGATTCATACAATGAATAAGCCAATTATTTTATACTCAGAAATACTGATATACTGACACATACCTTGACTTTTTCTAAGTGATCCTGTAGAGAGTCAATTAGTAGATCCCCCACTGGCTGCCAGGATCCCTTGAAGACTTCAGCCTGGCGTAGTTTCAGGTCCAGTTCATCCACTGCCTCTTGAAGACCCTGCAGTCTTTCAAGAGCATCATCTATCTTCTTTTGCCAATCAGCAGACTGTAGATTCAGCTTATCCCACTCAGTTCTGACCTCATCTGCTTGCCTTTGGAGAAGTTTACTGACATTGTGGGCCCTTTCCTCAGGTGACAACTCTAAATGTGAAAGTCAAGAAGCTTTTAAGACACATTCTGTCTTAGTAAAAAAATAATTACCATCTGGGTAAGTTCAAAGCTCGGGAAGAAACTATTCATAACGAAACACACCTGTGAAATTTATTTTATTACTGTATTCTCTTTTGAAAAACTCATAGCAAATTTAAATCTTGCCACGACACAAATCACCAAAATATGCATTTAAGTACAAACAAGCATTTTAAACATGTGAGGTGTAGCTAAAAGTTTATCAACTGTGTCCTGATTCAGCAAAATAGTGCTGTGCATAAATATTAATCACTGTGAACCTTTTGCTGCAATTGAGTGGATTTAGGAGCTTCTGTAGAACTGCAACTACAAGTTGAATTTTAGGTTAAATTGCAGCTTTCAGACATCAAATGGGCCTGTAGTTATAGATAGGTCCTGAAGGTTTAAAGGCAGTTTGGAAATCTGCTTATAAATATGCATGTCTATTTAGTGCCACAGTATTCAGAAGGACTGCTTAGAGTTTCTTTCATCTATATTTTTAGCCTAGTTTCTGAATACTGACATTCAGCTTGGAGTGTAAAAGGAATGCTTTCACAGCGGCTGGCAGAATTTATTTAATCATGGCTGATCATCACTGATCTTTCCAGCAATGTGTTATTACCCTGCTCTTTCTTCAATTACCTCTTGGTTCTGGGTAGAGCTTCTCCAGTCCCTCCGCAGGCTGCTCTGCTAAGAAGATTCGCACAGTCTCAAGTGCACTCCTGATAACAGGTTCTTTTGTTTTCAACTCCCTCTTGAAAGTCTGAGAAATGAAACAAGATGATTGTAAGTGGATATATAATGAGATACCAAGTGCTAGCCCTTATTTTCTTCAATTTAAGAATAAAATTTCCAACAACAGCTTCCATGCATGCATTACAAGGAGCTACAAAAATCCCACAAACTTAAAAGCGATAATCAGGTTTTACTTAACCTGAAATCACATTGTATTCATTCAAAGGAACGAAGGTACTGCCAGCAGGCTGCAAAGTACCCAAGACTGCTGAACAAATTTTCACTGTGAGAGGGATACCTTTTGCTGATTAATATAAGGGTCAATTTCCGTGTCTTTATGCTTAACATTGCTCAGTGGTACATTCTGCTCCTTTTCAGATCAACTGTATTTCTCCCTTTCAGGTCTTCCTTTCCTGTCATGCTTTTTTGCCACCCATCTTCTTTTTTCCCTACTTGCATTTTTCTTCCTTTAGCAACAGCTCCTTTTACCATCTCTCTTCCATGCTCTGCTTGTAAAATAACCAGGAGTAAGATTTTCAAGCTTGGTATTTGCAGTTTTGGTAGACTACTGAAAGTATACATATCTCATTCTGTTGTGGTTTTTGGTGTTGTTTTTTTTTTGGGGGGGGTGGTGTTGAATGTTTATTTGGTTGGGGTTTTTTTTGTATTTTGGGTTTGTTGCTTTGTTGGTTTTTTTTTGTTAAAGAGAATTTAAGGTTCCCTTAATCTGAATCCACATGTTCACCACATAAAAATGTAGATGAAATCTGGCCTGCAGGTTGCATGCTGCATTGGGTCTTTTGCGTGTTGTACTGAATTTATCTAAATGTTCCTTATCATTGTTTCATTTCACCATTTTCTTTTCTATTTATGAAACAATACTGAATGCATACTGTTTCCAAGTAGCATAGAGGTAAAATATGCAGATAATTATAGTGCAGTGTAACGCAACACAGTACTGCAAAAAGGAGAGTCTTATGCCATGAATGGAAAACAGACATTTTACTCCATGGAGCAGAAAATTCTTTTTATAACACAAGCATTATATAGGCTTCTAACATAATAAATTCATTAATTCAGTTAAATTAAATATTAAACAAAATTTGCGTTTCTATGCAAACTAATGAAAGATTATAAATTCAATATTAAAAAGTTCATTACACTTTGAATTATATTTGATAAGAAATGCTTTGTACAAGAAATACCTAACTGAACTAATAATGAGAATCACACACAGAGAGAATCATGGAATGTTAGGTATTAGAAGGGACCTCTGAAGAACATCTAGTCCAATCCTCCCGCCAGAGCAGGATTACTTAGAGCAGATGACACAGGAACACGTCCAGGTGGGTTCTGAACGTCTCCAGAGAAGGAGACTCCACAACCTCTCTGGGCAGCCTGTTCCAGTGCTCTGTCACCCCCACAGCAGAGAAATATTTCCTTATGTTTAGATTGAAGCCCCTGTTTTCTAGTTTGCCACTGCTACCCCTTGCCCTGTTTCTGGACACCACTGAGAAGAGTCTGGCCCCATCCTCCTGACACCCACCCTTTAGATATTTATAAGCATTGATGAGGTCTCCCCTCAGTCTCGTCCTCTCCAAGCTAAAGAGACCCAGCCCTCTCAGCCTTTCCTCACATGGTAGATGCTCCAGTCCCCCAGTCATCTCTGTGGCTCTGTGCTGGACTCTCTCAAGAAGTTGCTTCTCCTTGAACCAGGGAGCCCAGAACTGGGCACAGTACTCCAGATGAGGCCTCGCCAGCGCAGAGTAGAGGGAGAAGATGACTTCCGTCAAACCTGCTGGCCACACTCTTCTAACACACCCCAGGATGCCGTTGGCCACCTGGGCCACAAGGGCACATTGTTGGCTCATGGTCAGTCTGTTGTCCTAGGACTCCCAGGTCCTTTTCCCCAAAGCTACTCTCCAACATGTCAGTCACACCTGCAGCTTATAATATGAGCACTCACAGGTTAAAAAAAATCTTAATGCACTTCAGGAAAGAAAACTTAAGGAAATTACTACATTATTCTACTACAAATATTTAAATAAACTTTTTATTAAGTGGTCCAGAACTGACTATAAAGTTTGTAATTGTGAATCAAGTAAACTCTTTAGCAAACTGCAAAATGCTCATTTTGGGTCATGGACATCAATAGGACTGGGATCCTCTCACAGAGTTTATCTGTCATCACAAGGCAATTTATTTTTTATTAATATCTGTGATAGATGTTTTAAAAAACTATGTTGACTCTCAAGAACTATCACTGATTTTCACAAATAGAGTATTGCGTGTTAACAAGTAAACTAACATTGAACACTGTTCTGCATAAAAAATGAGTGAGGCTACTCCAGCGTTAAAACTCTAACCTAGCCATTTTTAGGCTTGGAAATTTTTATCATTTGTACTTTACTCTTGCATGAAGTATAATGGAAAGAGGAAATACAATAAGCCTTTTTCATGCCTCCAAATGACAAAAATCTATTCCTTTAGTTAGCCTTTGTGCTCAACTGATATTACATCATTCTGTCCCACTACGAGTGTGGCAGGTCTGCAGCTCAAGGAAGCCAGCAGGTAACATAACTTAAAATGCTCCCCCATGGACTGTGTGCTTCTCTCATCTGACAGTGTTAAAAGTGACATCAATGGTCATATTGTGTTTTAAACATTACGACTGTATAACAGCTTAAAGATATAATACCCTTTATAAGCATCTCTGAAGACAGATTATTTCTCAGAAGTGTCCATGCCCCAAATGGTTCAAACAGGAGGCACACACACAAAGGTATGTTCTGCCCACACACACCAAGAGAAGGGAGAAGTCACAGATAATCCAGAACAGAGAACTTGGAGGATACATAAAAGCCAGAAGTGCCTTTGAGCTATGTATTTTGGAAAGAGTAGTACTGCTGTATGGAGTGGTGCTGCTGTAGTCAGGTCAAGTCTAGCTGTTTAAACATACAAACAATAAGAAGGACACAAAATACCTTTTTTATGCTTTTGAATAAAACTGTAACAATCAAATACACCTAGTGGCACTGTATTTCCAAAAGATCTTTAAAACCACAGTTCTCCAATGTATCCTGTGCAGCAACAGAGCAAGGATAACATAATCAGATATGTATACTGCATCCCATAAAGTGTGTGAGCAGGAATTATTGTATCTATCTTCTCAAAACAATGAGAAATGCAAATGGAACCTTTCTGGCTGTAAATTTGGTATTTAGTCACAGTCTGAGAATGAGAATCTCCTTCTCTTTTATTAAAGGGAAATGGTGAGACAATGTGTTAAACGTTTTCTTTTCCATCCAGCTGGTGGATGTAATCATAATCTGCAAATCCTGAATTTTAGAATAGTACACAGTACGGTGTTAAGATCTATTTACGATTCTCATTGCCTTCCCTAGTTTTGATCTGCAGACTTCTACCAAGCGAGTTAAAATATGTTTCAGTATAAGAAATTTAAAAAGGAGAGAATGGAAAAAAACTTGAGACTGAAGCAGTAGCACAGAAAACTGTCCGAAATAATGAATGCTTGTTTCACACTAGCCCATACCAAAATATGTTCTTACTGTGTGAAGATAAAGCCAGCTTTTCTGATTAAAGTTTTGTTGTGAAATAGGTACACACTACCAATAAAAATCATAAGTAGCAATAAACGACACTTCCTTTTGCAAAAAAAAAAAAATTAAAATTATCTCTCTACAGTCTTGACAAATATATTTTTATAATAAGCAGACCATCACTGAAAACAGAATTAGTCTGAATGAATGTCTAATTTACAGCTAATGATTTCAGGCTAATTTCATTGAACTCCTTAACTCCTTTCACACTTCATGGTGACTGTAGAGGAAATCGAACATGGATAATATATGATCTGACAAAAATCCAAGTAAACTACTTTATTTAAACATCTCTATTTGTCATCAACACTACAGCAGTAATGGCATTCTGTCCACCATTTTCATAATGCATATATTGGTCAGCTTATCTCACATCTCCACTACTTCCTCATGGATGTCCTTAAATCCCCTTAGATGGAGAAACACTGATTGTTTAAATCGAAAGATGAAAATATAATGAGAAGAGAGTTGCATTAGTAAGTCTAACATTAATCTCTATTATTAGAAAAGCAGATTTTTTTTGCTTTTAACGAATTTTAAAGAGAAAGGGTAAAATTAAATTGCTTCAAGATGTTTCCCAACCAGAATGCTTTCTAAAAAAGGGGTTTAACTTCATCAAAAGGCAGATATCAGCTGTGACACCAGAAGAGGTTAGTGTGCTGAAGCAGGAATTGCACTCCTTCTTAGGCACTGTTACTATAGATATTAAGTGATCAGTTTCCAGGAAATTGTTCATAAATGCTACTGTTGCTGTTAACATAACCACTACATGGAAGATGTGGCAACTCTTCAAAGAATGAAAGAAAAAGCAGGCTATCTGCATTATGTCTAAGTTACTTAACTGAGATTAACAGTAACATGGACACAGATATTAATACAATTTAAAGACAACGTTATTATGTTGTCTTAGTAAAGCAAAGAAAACTGTAAGATAATTAAATAATGTTTTATGAACAGCAGTACTTTTTTATCATTGACTAACTTTCCCCCCTCACCCACATTCTACGACTTTGGCATAGACACAATTTCTTTAGATGTCAGAAATCAACAAAATGACTCATCATATAAAGTTCAGACAAATAGTAGTTATGGGAGTGCCTTTGGGATAAAGTCCAAATTGCCTTATCTAAAAAAGCACCTCACATTTATAAAACAACAATGATTTTGACTGCATGGATATCTTTTCTCATTTTGAGTTCAAGCTCTCCTCTGGCATAAACTCAAGCATCTGAAATTTTCATCTGAATCCTACTTTTAAAATTTTTAAATTCAATCTTGGCAACTAGGAGAATCCTAACAGTAAGAACAAACTTCTTTTCATCTTTGCTATGGACATCTGAGGTATTCCAGATGATTTTCTAACAATTCGAGGTGGGGTCTCACAAGAGCAGAGTAAAGGGGGAGAATC